GTTCTCCCGAGCTCACGCTCTGTATTCGTCGTTCAAGTGATCGACAGCCTGAATCGCATTAAGACCGACCTAGTGAATGAGGGCGGTTATTATGAAACGGCATTAGCTGCTCAAGTGGTTTCTCTGTAGCGTGTTTCCTAAGCGGTTCAGACACGGTCTGTTCTCCGTGGATGCTTCATTCGTCGATTTATCGTCGGCTTATTCTGACGACAGCGGCTCACGGTGGTGAATTTGCCCGATAATTATTGCTTGTTCAGTCTATACACGTTAATACTTTTTTACTCGGTATTATATTTTGTATTATACATTTTATCGAATCAATTTTTTGTGACGACTGTATAGCAAAAGTATTTTTTTTTTTTTAAATTATTAAAAGATGTCCTTTAACCGCTTTGGCAAAAATAGTGTTAAATAGAAATTATTAAAAGGTGTCTTTTAACAGCTTCGGGGTAGAAATGGCATTATGTCAAGGTTAACCTTGATGGTTTGTGACGCTGTCTACGACAACGGCAATTTGATACTATACCGGACAATACCGTACCGCTTATTTTGTCCAATAACTCAGAAGAGAGGTAAATCCAACGAAAATTTGTTTGGTAATCTCCAAGGTTCACTTTGAAAAAATATGACTTCTTGATCTCGCTTGATAAACAATTGTTTCATTGACTAAAGGCAGAATATATGTATATACAGTAGGCCACAAAAGTGTTCATACACCTTTTCATACACCTAAGGGATTTGAATTTTGTTCAGATGATAGCAGGACTAGTCTACCAGACGATGTGCAAAATGCTTTTTTCAAATTTTGCTATTGCTTGGAATGACAAACAAAATAAAAAAACTCTCGTATTTTAACTTTCTTATCCGAGCCCATAACGCAAATTTAAAAACTGCCTCTCATAGATCTCGGTAGCTTATATGCATGCTGAAAATTTCACTGAAATTAGTTGATGTTGTTATGAGTTATAACAAATTAAAGATGACAAAAATCGCAGTTTTATCACGATTTTGACCAAAAATTGGAAGAAATCTGCAGTTTTTTACATCTTTCAATGCTTGTAGCTCGACTCTGGGTTAACCAATTTGGTTAACCAATTACATACATATAAGTTACTGAAATCTATGAGAGACATTTTTTAAATTTTCATTACCGGCTCAGATAAAAAAGTTATAAAACGAGAGTTTTTTTATTTTGTTTGTCATTCCAAGTAATAGCAAAATTTTAAAAAAGCATTTTGGTCATCGTCTGATAGACTAATTCCGCTATCATCTGAAAAAAATTCAAGTCCCTTAGTCCAGTTTGAAAAAAGTTATTGCGTTTCAAAAGGTGTACGAATACTTTTTTGGCCCACTGTAAATCTTGAATTCATATCAATCGGAATTAATAGAGGACCTGTCAATTAAGATTACTCATCGTACATTAGCATTTGAAACCGGGAGACCAGGGCTAGAAGTTTCGGGGGAAAGTTGTTCCGATGGTAATATATTTCAAAAAAAAATAAAGAAGAATTGCGTTACGCTTTCAATTGTTTTGAAAGCGTGGACCGATCGTGCCACGCCATCAAACATTTTAGCAGCATCCGCAACGGCGAATTGTATAGTTTAGATAAGGCAGTAGTCACATAGCAGGAAAGTAAATATTTCGCAGTCACTATTCTTTTGTCTAATTCAATTATTTAATGTCAATATCGTCTACTGTTCTGTTCTTATAAATCAAATAACATTTAAGTACATGTTGTAATAGCATTTATTAGAATATTTGAATATATAAATAAAATATTTGTATACATCGACACACATGTCAATTGGGGCTAGTTGTTCCCGTGACCCGGAGCAAAAGCGTAACAACTTATCCCACCTCAAATGTACAAATAGTTCCTGCTGTGTTGCGATGCATATTCTAAATCACAGCTCAGCCACGAATGGATTTAATGTATGTTACACAAAAACTGGGCTCATATCAAATGTATAAAGAAAGTAAATGCTGTATCATATATTTGTCCGAACTGTGATTCTGACGAGTCGTTTGACGATATTTAATTTTTTTCGTTTAAAAGGTTATTTCTATTAGGTTAATCCGAAGTCAATAAACAAACTTTATTAATAAAATTGTGTTTCATTTCATCAGAGAATGAAATATCTCATTAGAAAGTAACATTTATTTCTTAGTAACAAGTTACCCCAGAGCGTTAACAACTTGCCCCACGACGGGGTAAGAAGTTCCGTTTGAGTTAATCACAAAAAAATGAGTTTCTATGAAAAACTTATTGCAATATATTAAATTTCAGTTGATAATCTTAAAGTAGAATAAATTTAATAATAAATTAGCTAGAAACGAAAAAAGTAACTGCATTATTTCTTAGTCAATTTTTATGTTTTCTCAAAATCGGAACTTCTAGGCCCGGTCACCCCTACTCAGAAAGATACAGTAATTTGGACAATAGACAATTGTAAGTGGACAATTTGAGAAGAGGAGATACAATTATTCAAGCCTTGCGTTTCGTTTCTATAGTTGTTGACAATCGGCAACTATAAAAACAAGCCGCAAGGCTCGAATAATCGTATCTGCTCTTTCTAAATTGTCTATTTTTCTGCGCATTTTACGCACGAATTAGGCAAAAATTACTGTATTACGAATTAATGTCGAGAAGGTTCATATTTTAAAATGAACAAATTCCTCTTACCTAGTATAACTTCAAGGCGGTTGTACATTAAAAATATCGATTGAACATCAGGCTCTGTTCGTGTATAAATAAGATCCGTTGCGTTGAATTTGAAAGTATGAAACAAATTCGTTTGGCTCGTGTCGACAATTTCGGGTAAATTCACTACTGCGCGGTTGTGGAAGAGTCGGGATTAACGTTTTTCGTGACGAACGCAAAGTCAGCCAATCCTGGGGATAAAGATGCGATACACCTTGGCTGTCTCCGAGCCTTCTAGAGTCGGAACACGCTCTTTCAACACGAAAAGATGGCGGAGCGAATCGATGCTGTGTAGAAGGAGCTTGAACTCCTTTCCTACGAATTTTACTCCGAAAAACTGACGTTGCTGCTAGACGAATTTCTCCCGTGAAATTCTCTTTGAGCTAGCGAATTTCTCTCAGAGCACTCAGGCAAGCTTCATTTAAAGTTAAGGCGAAAAAAGTGTCGTAAAACACGAGCCACTTTCCTTATCGACCAGGGGTAGCTGCCAGTTAGACGTGAGACAACGCGGCGCACGGCCGTGAATTCGATACACACTCCGCGACAAAAAGAGAGCACCACTTTAAAATTAACGTGACTTTTACTCATTTAACATTACAACCCCAAGGTTTCTTTTATACACGCTTGTGAAATACCGCTACGTACACACACGCGCGAATGAAATAGAATTCAATGTATATAGTGCGATATAATACATAATATAATATTATATAATATAATATTATAAATTTAATATATAATACAGTGCGACAAAATGATAGCACATGCGACTAAAAATTATGCATAGTTTCATACATTCAAAGAGCTATTTGTTCGGGCAATGATCGGAAAGTTTTGTCCAATATTCCTATTGATCGGAAACTTTTTTCCATGTAACATTTTGTTTTTTCACTTGTGCGTCGTTGATAATAAATGGAAGTTTGTGTTTTGTTGTTGTTATTTACTTTATACTGAGTTCCCCTCAATTTTCGGATCCTTTAAATTACGAAGAACAGTATTTTACACTCAAAAACAATCAATGTTTTTAGTAAATTTTGGACTAACGCGTCAGATCGGAAACTTCTTCTCAAAGGTTGTATAATGGGCGCTGCCTTTACGAGAAGAGCTGAATGTCTCCGGTAACCTAACCCCAGACCTTTTCGCGCTAGTCCTACTGGAACATTTACCTTATCCTGTGCTAGCAAATTGTGGCACAGATCTTTGAAGCGTTTAATTCTTCTGATCGACGAGCTGGCTCAATTCACAGTCGTTTCAATGTGCAGAGGATCGTTGTCTACTCAGTGTTTACAGAAACTCGATAAATGGAAGGAATTGATTTAACGAAACAAAGACCGAGAAGTTACGATTTATGGTATTAATTACTCTTTCGATTCTCTTGTATTTTATAAGCTTTAACAAAATATAATTTCTCGTATTAATTAATGCCAATTGTTTTGCAATCTTTATGTAATGAGATTTGAACATTGCTTGTATCGTGCTCCTAACAACAACCGTCGATCGTATTATACAATCATTACATATAATATCATTCGATTCCACAGCGTATGACTCGTGATAAAAACCTTTTTTTGTTAACAAGGAACGTGAATGTAACGACAAAGCCCGTTATGTGTCAAAGAAAGGTTAATGTAAACATGGATATGTTTTTCCAAGCAATGCTCTTCTTCTTTGCTAACACGTTTCGATTTCATAATGTAGTGAAAATGTCGTTAATATTTCGTGAAAGCGTCGTCAGATAAATTAGTTTAACAAATGTATTGAAATAGTATTCTATAGGAGTGCGAGTAGAGGCGGAATTATTGCAGTGTAACGAATGAAGTGTTTTTTACTATTCACGAAAAGATTCATTGTTTAGTTTATATTTTAACTCAATTACTTTTTCTCACATTTATGAAATGAATTATTAAAAATTTGTCCACCATGGAATTATAAAAATATATTGATTTCGATATCGAGTAACTCATTGATATACATTAAGAACACCCGGTGTATTCTAATCCTTCTATTCTAGTCCTTAATATTTTTAATTGTTATTTATTAAAAAAAAAATTAACTTTTATATTTGTATGTACAATACACATGATATGTGGTTCTTATATTATAATATATATGTTGAACATTTTTCGAATTGTATCTCTGTAATATTAATGAACGTCGTTTATGTAATTTTTCCACCAATATATTCAATTTCCAAGCAGATTTCTTTCTATTTTCTACTATACACAGTAGAGTAGAAAACTGAATAAAACACATCATTGTATACTGAATATTATATATATATTGCAACACTATACTCACTTTGAATCCTTTATACCATTCCTTTATAGTCGCTTCATCGTATCTCGTATGCGACTTTAAGAAATCCATATCCTCTTTGCTCAACTTGTCTTTGCTCCCAAAACAACCCATTTTGTAATCTGTAACAATAAGTTATATTTATATTATTACTTTCAATGATACATTTCTACGGTTTCTGTAAACTAATTTCTAACATAAAGTTTGTAGGAGGCTTGAATTTTTCTACAAATGTCTGCATAATGTACAACAATCGTAACACAATTATCATGTGCATTAAAAATATCATCATAGAAAATTATTCAAACTTATTATTTCACTTATCCTCTTGTATTTAATTTGTTTTTAATTTCAGTAATATTTGTTTTTATTACGACGTTTAATTACAATCAATTCTCCAAAGGAATTATGAGTAATTCTGCTTAATCCTCAGCAGTATGCTCATGAATGATCCCAACCATATTTTATGTTCTAGTAAACGTTGAGTTTTCCATATTTTTATAATTTTATACATTAACTCAGAATAAAATACAATAAATCGTTTATCTAGAATTAGATTAACACATCTTTTTGCACTTTTTATTTGAAATCTATCATGACTTCAGTATACTAGTCATTTCTGTGAAAATCACCGTACCAGGTAAATGTTAAAATTACTGTCATATTTTATATATCAGAGGAACTTCAGTGGCAAGTCTAAAAGATAATTGATTTTAAAAAATGTTGTGTACTTAAAAAAAAGGCGTATTAAACGAAAAGCAAAACGTTATTTGAAATAGTTCTATATATCCGAAAAGCGAAAATGCAATGAAGAATAATTTGTTACTACATTGAGGATCTTCAGGCAAAATACAAATTTTCTTCGTCAATTGCAATATGTAGAAGTCAGACACAAAGCTCATTCTTTCGTCAAATAATTTCAGTGAGTTGAAAACAGTGTGCAGTTATTCGTAAATACTTTTTCTAATCTTACTACCATTTTAAATTGCACCTGCTCAATTTTATCGTGAATGCATAAAATCCACATTTTATTTGTTACTAGACTGCGGATTTTATGCACTTATGGCAAAAATGAATAGTTTCAATCGAAAATATCGGAGAGATTAAAAATAATAATAATAAAATTATTAAAAAAGGAATGAACTTCTTGTTTAGCTTCTATTTCTTTGCAATTGACGTAGACAATTTTATTTTGCATAAAAATCCACACTCTATTTATTATCATACATTCTACCATAACGTGCAACGTCTTGATTTTCAATTTAATAGCGATTCAGCCGCCCCTAGAGCGTTTAAATGCAGTACCTTGTACAGTCTCCGGTACAAAGGATTTTTATGCATAAAGAATGTCTACGTAGGAAGTTGGAGAACTGGAGGTGCAACTACGCAGAATGTTATTTTACTCGTAAAAGTAAGTCGAGAAAGGAGGATCAAATTTTGTCGTTTGAAGCCTCCTTTTCGAGAAAATCAGGTTGGGAACTCTGTTGAGTATGCAAGTGTTCGAGTTTGCCAGAAGTAATAGCGTGTGTCGCGAACAGACCCGCTGCTTGGTTTCTATTCAATAGCGTGTGCAGTCGACGAATTTCCAAACTCGAATTTCTTGGAAACGACGCCAGAAAGTAGACATTATTATTCTTTTCTACGATTTACCTTCGCTCACAGAATTTCTTTACTGTTTTTGTGGTTGCATTGTTCTCCTATTTTACGGAATTTTATGCGGACTCACCGAGAATATTTTTGGTGAAAAATAAATTATTTCAATATAGTAATTATTTTTAAGTGTCTGCTGGTCTCACTTAGTGGCAGCTCTATTCGGTTACATGTTGTAAAAGTTATTTTGTAAGAATGTTGAAACATTCTTTCAATGTTCATCTTATACATCGTGTGTCTAAACATTAGATTGAAATATAGCGAAAGGAACTTTTTTTAACCGAAAAGGGTTTTATTTCTTCTTGGTGTTTTCTTTGTTCAATATTAATTTAACATGTTATTTAAATTTGAAGACTGTAATCTTGAGATATTTTATCCAAATATAATATTTTGTTAATAGTTCAATATTACGTAATATTTGGGTCTGGTTTACATCTCTTTGCTTTAAACAAATTGTCGTGGAGGATTCATAAAATTAAATCTTTCCTTTGATTATCATTTTTCGGATTATGTATATGTGAAGAGATCATCGCCATAAATAAATTGTTGTGAAACTTTCATAAAATCGAAATAACTTATTATTCAAAATCGCTTTATCTCAAACGAGATAAATGATTTCATACAGTTATTTTCTTACTTTCATTTCAAATAAATAATTTAATAATTTAATAATAATAATTTCTGTTGCTAAACATTTATTCAAGATTTTTAATCATTGGATTTAATCATTTAATAATTGGCCTTTGCAATCATTTTTGTGGACGTATATCGCATGGACAGGCACAGTTGAAAGTGTTATCTTTTGGAACATTTGGTGCTGTAGCAACAGGCAGATTAAAATGACTCGACAACTGTCGGGCGAGGGTTAAAACAAGCTCTAGAACTCTGAATGAGGATGTGGTTTTGTAATCGGTGAAGAGGAGGTGTAAGCTAAGCCTTAAGAGGCTGCGCGTAAGTGGGTGTGACAGTCGGAAGAAGATAAATAACGCAAATGAGAGAGAGTACACTTCTTTTCGCTCTTTGCATGAATCGCGACCGTCTATTGTGTTCATTAGCCGAAACAAGGGACCACGGCCGTATCCGAATTTACACTCGTTTGTATGTCAAAGTTTCGCTTAAAAGCCGCACGTCGTCAATGACGAGCTTGTGTTTGTTACAGTAACACGTTGAGTGCTGTGTCACCCATATATTGCTGACGAAATTACTTATCTAGATTTAAAAATGAATTTATTCGAGTATTGGACATTGGGATCTACAAAATACAAGAAGATTAAAAGTGCATTATAAATCTCAACTTCTTAATTTTTTAATTCATTGTATTACGTTCATTTTATATTGAGTTTTTTGTTTAGTTTGTAGTGTAAGTATTAAAATGGAGAACATCGTGCACAAATGAAGTTTCTGTTTAAGAATAATTTTTTATTACGAGATTAATTTGGTAGTCTTCGACACCAAAATCGAATAGAAAAGCTATTTTGAAATGCAGTAAACTGGGAAAATTCTGTTTAAAAAACTCATTGCAATAAACATTTAAAATATAAATAATAGAAATAATAGAAATAATAGAAATACAAGCTTAAAGATAAAACATCAGGATAACAGAAAATTTCTTTATGGACATGAACTTATGGCATGAATTTGTATATACTTTGCAAAATGCAAGAGAACGTACAAATTAACAAAGCCTAATAGCATTTTTATTTTCTTTTTGCAGCGCATAATCTATTAGCTGACAAAGAAAATTTTTGATAAAATAATTCTGATTTTGATAAAATAAGGTATGAAAATCGGAATTTGCATAAAGATTCGCAGTCTACTTATAATACTCCTATAATCTAAAATATGTAAATAAATTAAGTATAATGATATATTTCTCTATTTTACTCTAACTTTCGTAAAATCATTAATAAGGAACAGATTGTCATGTCTGTGTAAGTTCCTGTCAAATGACAGAGATGCAAACGTACGCGTTTGAATGGGCTCCCATTCGCAGGAAGGGTAAAACAAGAAGTAATCGAAAGAGTGCCGAAAGCAAACGTATGACAGACATAAAGAGGACAGGTAAAAAGAAATGAAGGAAGAATACGTACAATAAAAGGAAGTTGCGCTGAAAGTGGAAGAAAAGGAAATTGAGGTTACCAGTAAATAGGTTGTAACAAAGGCGACAAGACTGCTGGAGGGGAGACAAGAACTCCCAAAGAGTAGGAGAAGATGTTGACAAAAAAAGTATGTTCCAGAGAGAATGCGAAAATATGAGGGGCTATATGCGTGCTAATTTTCAAGGTAATGAAATAACTGAAGAGGCGAGTGGAAAGGATAGAAGAAAAGATGAAAGAGAGCGTAACTGGATCCTGGAAAACTAGAACAGAAATGACAGATAAAGGGTAATGAACGAGAATTCGAGGATACTGGAAGAAGTATAGATAATAAGGGAAAAGAAACGCCCAAAAATGATGTAGTCGTAAAGAGAACTAAATGATGATTAAAAAAAAAATTTGAAATAGGACAATTGAGGAAATATAAGGATAGGAGTTGTTGAAAAAAAGGAAGTTTTAACAACGAACAAAAATTAATTTATAGTTTACTTAGTACTAAGATACTAAGATATCGGTTTACATTTTCGTCGGTTCCGTCAGCGGGCAACGACGGTGATGTAAACTGTATATAATAGATACCGCGATACATCATCACCGGTACCATTAGATACACATCGTGCCCTGACTGTTTGGGGATCCCAGCGTCACGTATACAATGTGAAACGCGACAAATAAACGTCTCTGATTGGTGGATAAGACGAACCCAAGAAGGGTATAAAAGAAGCGTTTTTTCTTACCGGACTCTCAGTAGAGTTTGGTCGCTCGATCGTTTTCGCCCATATACCTTCTCTCAATAAAGGAATAAAATAAAGTCTTTTTAAGAAAAGAATTAGAATCATATTCATTTTCATTCCATAATCCCAACAGGAGTAAAATGGACAAACAAAATAAGGGTGGAGAAATGTGCAAACTCGAGCGATAGCGAGAAAGAAATTAAAAAAGATAACCCTCCAATGTGCAAATTGCAACTCAAGAAATTCCATCGATTTCATTATTACGTCCTGTCGAAAATTCGAAACGTTCACTTGGAAAGGAAGATGTCTCCAGTTCCATAAACTGTAGATTAAGTGGCTATTGTAACTGTGTGGTTGTTAATGATCCTCGGGTTGTGATACGATTTTATAAAATAAATGAAAGAAAAGAAGATTTGAGAGCACGAATTTTTTTC